TATATATATATATATATATATATATATATATATATATATATATATATATATATATATATATATACCACCATCCCCCACTCACACACACACACACACACACACTGTATCTACCACCTCCTGTAAAGATATATTGGTGTTTATATGTTCATCAATGTGATTAATCAAAATCAGTTAAATGTGAACGTTAGTGCTCTTTATTCAGAAAATCCACACGTCACATTTCAGGATCTGGTTATTATAATCACAGATTAAATATTAAATATGAATATTTCTATATTTATCACCACAGTAATAGTGTTACACATTAGTATTTGTAAACACTCAAAATAATACATATGCTGGTTTAGTGTTTACCTTTAACCTAAATATTTAAGGAGTAAACGTTTTTAATAATCACGTTAAAAGTTATATGTTGCCTTTGGTCTCCGTTAGTTTTCCAAATAGATTAGTGTGTGAATGACAGGCATCAGCTTAAAACACTTTGTAGAACGGCGCTTTGTGAAGTTCAGTCCATTTCCTTGTACTAGGACCGGCAGATCTGCCACATCCAATATGACGGATGCTCCGACGTACCGCTGCAGCGGGCCAGCCCGCTCAACAAGGTGTCTACTAAAACTTGCATCATTTATTGCACCGCCTCCAGTTCTCTGTTGTGAACGCCCTGGCAGATGACAATAGACAATCAGTGATGGAGAAAGGTCAGGGGAGCTTTGCTACGAAATAATGATAAATGATTGAAATGTAAAACCACCTATCTGACTCCAAATCCACCCAAATTATCCCCACCTGCCCAAAGCAATTTTTACCTGCAAAATCAGAATGAAAACCACCCAATTGGTGATAAACTGCCCAATCTGGCAACACTGTCTGGGAGGGAGTTGTGGAAGCAAGACTTAGAGGAGAGGTGACTATCTGTGAGCAGCAGTAGGTTCTCAAGCCAAGAAAGAGCACCACAGACGCCATTGCTTTGAGGATGCTGATGGAGAAGTACAGAGAGGGTCAGCAAGAACTCTGTTGTGTCTTTGTGGATTTATGAAACGTATATGACAGGGTGAGGGAGGAGGTGTGGTATTCTATGAGGAAATCTGGAGTGGCAGAGAAGCACGTTACAGGACATGAATGAGGACAACAGGACAGTGATGAGATGTGTTGTACGGGTGACAGGTATTGTAGCTTCAAGGTGGAGGTGGGAGTGCATCAAGGATCAGCTCTGAGCCCCTTCTTGTTTGCGTGATGAACCGACTAACAGTCACAACAACTCACTCACTCACACCTATGGACAATTTAGAGTTACCAATCAGCCTAACATACCTGTTTTTCATCTGTGGGAGGAAGAGAAGGATGAGATGTCCATCACACAATAACGTGCTCACATCTGCTCCATGCCTCTTCAGGTTTTGCAGCACTCGCTTCATTTCCAACAGTTTGTGCTGGGCCAGCTTGATTAGTATTTTATAAGCAAAGGCAACTTGATCTGATTGTTATTTTAATTGCTTTTATTTTTGTTGTCTGTCTAAAACAGGTCCCTCTTGAAAATGAGTCCTCGTGACCCAATGAGACATGCATAAATAAAAGTTAAACAAAACAAACAACAACAACAAAACAACTTAAACATGGACTTGAGGCTGCAGGGAGGAACATACACATTTAAAGGAGTGGCCCTTGCCTCCTTTGGCCCTCCCGTGTTAGTGCCCCTGGCAGAGAGGAGGTGCAGGACGGAGTTTATGTTTAATGCAGTAGTTCATAACTATTTTCTCTCATGCACTCAAAACAAACAAACAAACAAACAAACAATACTCAAGCGCGCAAAAGGAAACGTGACACACCATCAGCAACAAACAGTTCTGTGGGACCGGCGTTTTAATTATTAAAAGCAAGCGCGTGCTTTGTGCACCGGCACAGATTAGGTTAGAACACCTTGGCGGATATTGAAATCTCTCTCTCTCTCTCTCTCCCTCTCTCTCTCTCTCTCCCTCCCTCCCTCCCTCCCTCCCTCCCTCCCTCCCTCTCTCAGCGCCCTGCTGATGAGGAGCGGAGGCGCTCGTCTGACGCGGACACGGTCGTCACAGCGCGCGCACACCACCACCACAACAACAACAATAACAACAACCTGAAACGAACGAACGCGCGCACGCGGGTTTTTGACGAGAGACAAGCACCAGGTGATACCCAAAGAAATGACGCCGCGCAGTCTGTGGGGGGGAACTTCACTTCAGACGAACACGCGCAGGGAGACATCACCGCGGACGCGGATTATTAGTCCTCATTAACGCGCTTGCTCCGAACTTGGATCGCGCGCGGACTAAGTGCGCACTCTTTAGCTCGGCATCTTTATTTATTTATTTATTTATTTATTTATTTATTTATTTATTTATTTATTTATTTATTTCATTCATAAGGAGACGATGAAGGCAGACCCCCCCCCCCCCCCCCCATGTTTAATTAACTAGGCTGATGTGTAAGTACCATCAGCCAACGAAGCGTGGGCTGGCTGCTGGGGGAGGAAAAAAAAAAAAAAGCAGAGAGGCTGGGGGAGAACATTTCCCCCCATTTCTCCCAGTCGAATCACCTCTGTCTGTCTGTCTGTCTGTCTGTCTGTCTGACTGTCTGTCTGACTGTCTGGATGTCGCGCGGCACAGGAAAATAAGTCGACCCGTTTAAACTTGTTCCGAATTTGTTGAGCGCGTGAGCCACAAGAAGCAGCAGAGGGGAAAGAGAGGGCGCGAGAGTGTGCGTATTTTGTCTCCTCTCTCCCCCTCGCGCTCTCTCTCTCTCTCTCTCTCTCTGTGTGTGTTTTGATGATATTTGTGACGGAATCCCCTCTTCAGTCTCCAAGAACCCGGAGCAAAGAGGAGGAGGAGTAGGAGGAGGGAGAAGAAGAAGAGAAGGACAGGAGAAGAGGAGAGGCGGCGGAGGCGGAGGAGGAGGCGCGCGGACCTGACCACGAGCTCTCACTGCGGAACGCGCGCGCGGGGCTGCCGCTGGAGGTTCCTCCAACCATTCTGGAGCCGAAGGCTTTAAGAAATTTTATTTGGTTTTAATTATTTTTAGGGGGGTTATATATTTTTTTTAATTTTTATTTTTTACTATTTTTTTTATTTTAATTTGTATGTTGAAACGGACCGCGTCTGACAGCGAGAGGAATACCTTTTTACCCGAGGAGGAGGAGGAGGAGGGCGCAGATCTTCAGAACCAGACAGGTGGATTTATCCATTTTTTGGTGGGTGTTTTGATTTTTCTGATCCAGCTTGTAATTATTTTTTGGAGAGAAATGCGTGGAGACAAACTGATGGATTAACCTGACGGAGGAGAGCCGCTTTGTGACCCTCCCCGTGCACACTCCTGCCGAGGGCACCGGAATGGAGTAACAGGCTGCAATGTCACCTGGCCGCCTGGAGAGATGTGTCACGGGAATGGGGTGAGCTTCAATGTGTTTGTTTATTTCATACAAGTTGAAATAAACTCCTCCCTGAACATTTTGTTGTTTTAATTAGAAGCGTGTGAGAGCAGCGGCGCGCGCACCTCACCTTTCTCCTTTTAAGTGGAGCAGCGGGTTTCTCTTTTTGGCCACTTTGTGCGCCTCCGTCTCCTCCACACAACCTGCTGCATGCCCTACATAGAGAGGGAGAGGAGCGTGAGGGGAATACATTCACTAAAGGAGCCACAGGCTGTTTTACCTTCACCCCACCCCCCTTCACAGATTTGACGCACACCATTCGGATTTAACTTCCCCCCCATGTTGCTCTAACATATAAGAGCTCGAGCTCAAACAGCTAAAAAAAAAAAAAGCCTTTTGGAGTCATGACGTTATATAAACACCAAACATGCTTCCTGAAGCTGCAGCGCCATGAATAACGTTTCCTCTTCTCCCCCCCCTCCACCTCAGATCAAGTTTGAACACTTTCCCCCTGCTTTCACTGATGCTGTGAGAAGGAACCGACATGCCAGTAAACGGACGGGTCGTGGTGCCCCCCCGCGCGGGCCCTTGCCCCACAGAAGTAAGAGCATCACCCACGGAGCGCAGCATCCATCGCACCGACACAGAAGACGAAGGCGCAAAAGCTCCACAACTCCAGAGCGGCCGCGCCGCGTTGTGACACCCAAGGTAAGAAACCGACTACAGCTCTGAGAGGCGCCAGGGGGCGCTGTTGCACCGCGCTACCCTCCCCCTCCGCCTCCTCCCCCCCCCCCCCCATCACAAGTCTGCCTAAGAGAAGCTGTGTAATGAATTCATATCTCAAATTACAGTTTTCAGGGCTTTGAATGCAGTCACGTTGTGGAATCACATTTTCCTCCGTTCTTCTCGCGCCAAGCCTGACACACCGAGCGTCTTCCTCTCCTCGCAGCGAGGCCTCCCCATGCACAGACACATGGAGAGGGGTATTTGCCTATAAGGAGACTGACAAGGCAGAATATATAGGCCAGCCTTGACTTCCCATAAATCTCCGTCAGGTTTATCCCTGTTGGCAAACAACGCCGCCCATCTTCAGTATAGGCACATGGCGTGGGGAGTTATGCACATTTATCAATATAGTTTAGGGTAAATTGCCATCCGTGCCATACCAAACCCACTGTGGTGTGGAGAGCTCAGGAGAGACTGATGATGTGCTCAGCAGCAGCCTATTTTCTTGAATGGTAGGATGACACGAGAGGAGATCAACTCTGTAGGGCACGAACGCAGTAGAGTGGGGAGCAATGAATGTCGAGAGCTGTTGCTGTCTTCATTAATATAAATATCTTGTGCAAAGCTGCAGCAGTGGATTCTGGGTGTGATGTCATAACACCCTCAAAACCTCAGTGGTGTTTTGTAGCAAGGCCTACTTTTTCCGTTTTCTTCTTGTCGTCATCACTCTGGCGAGCATCTCTTTGCCCGGCTGGGCTTTGTAAGAATTTCATCCCTCGCACAGTCCGCTGTATTAACCCGTCGCCGAAGCAGAGCTTAATAATAGTACGAGTAGAAAGAAAAACTTCTCAGTGATGTGATGCATAACATACACGGAGTCCCTTTTTTTGGCTTCTCGATGACGTAGCCTTGAAATGATGTGTCGAGAAGCATCTGACTGTGCTGCTCACTGAACCAGCGCTGCTGCTGGCAGAGCAGGTAGTCTGTTAGAAGCTATTGTCTCCAAATGGCTTGTCTCTGTCATCACGAAGACTGGATGTATTCATTTCTCACTGCAAATGTGCTTTCTCCTCCACCATTAATAAAATGGCACTCTAGATTAGTTGGATTACGCCTATACGCACGTTTGCAACAAAAACTCTGTATCGTGAAAACGTTTCAGGGGTTCATTAAAGGAAAAAGGCTCCAGAATTCCTGTTTTAGATTTCAATGTTATGTCTGGGTCCAAAATTAGTCCAAAATCTACATATGCATGCAATGTAGATTTAAAGAGCAGTCATGCAGAAGACTTCTTCTCATGCAAAAAACATGACGCGTTTAACTCGTTGAAACTGTTAATTTTACTTATTTACTGTGGAAAATTCTTAAAAAAAAAAACAGTTCAAGAATAAGGAAGCTCTAGCTGAAGCTAACGTGTCGTAAAATTATCGCTACGGGATCTAAATATTTCTTAAAGTGCAAGTACTTTATTTTTATTCCAGCTACGTTTAAAACACAGTTTTAGAATATTGCTTACCTTCCAGCCTGAGAACGTGCGAGAACAGAGAGAAAAACGACAATATTCTGCAAAGGCAGTGCAAAAGCCACGAGGTGTAACCAATGGCTGAGTTTAAAAATAGAAGAAGGGTCACAACAACCACTGAATGAAAGAACTGCAGGTCATATAGTCATAAAGTAAACAAAAAATGCAGTTAAAAATTAATAAAAATGTCACATTACAATCAGAAATATAAAGATAGAGATTAGACTCGTTCCTCTTTTTCTCTACACCGCTATTTGATACTTTAAATGAGAGTATTAAAACATGATTGTCACACAAAGCTCTTAAAAAAATAATTATATAAATGCTTTAAAAAAAAGACTAAAATGTCGTGGGTGGAAAATGCTCCTTCCTGACCTGCATTCTGGCAGAATCTTGAAAAAGGTATTGCTATATTTTCAGATAAGAGCTGCACAATTAAATCCCCTTATCAGTGTAAAGCAAGGTATTAGCTTGGTATCCGTTAGTTAAAAATTAATTTATCGTTTTGCACTCTACCTACAACGTTAAGAGCCATTCCGCCACAAAGCCTCCTACATGACCTTTATCTGCTGTTTTTAAAGTCAGTGATTGCTCGTGCTTTGTTGCGTCATATAATCAATTAGCAAAAAGCAGAATCTGGTCCTGCGTGCCCCTCGGTGACCAACAAATTAAACTTGTTCTCGCTGTCTCCGCTGGAGGAAAGTAAAAGCTGATGGCCTGCTGCTTTGTTCTTACTTACAACAGCAGGTCAGATGTCACCCATACGAGACTTGAGATGATGAAAATGAAGGTTTGCGTTTTCTCTTCCCCTGCAATTACCCATAAAAAGCACTGAGCGACATATGATAATGAGTCATTTGACCCCCGCTAATCTTCTGCATAGCGATGTGTGATGTTGCAGTGAGGGACAGAAGTTAATAACCCAAAAGCTTCTTATAAACGTGTGCTATTTAATCATTTAATCAAAACACAGTTGGTGGTCTCATTTAAGGAGTTAGTGAGCTGTAGTTATATTTAGTAGGGTTTGACTTATACAGGCTTTTAACTAATCGCTATAGAACGAAGATGACCATGAAGGAGTTTTTTTTTTATTGATGCAGCTGCATAATTTTATGCCTTAAAACATTTGTAGTTCTTTACATATTTAGATGACAGTGTCTACCTAAGCGTAGTTTGCCATGTTTCAGATGCAGTTGGAGCGATGTCTGAATAAGCACAGTTTGGTATGAGATTCTGATAACCTTGAGCAAAAAATACCATAATATCACTGTATTAATTGTTTTAATGGAAAATAATTATAAAAATTGTATCCCATAATGCAATGCAAACTGAAATGCATCTACCGGTACTGTTGCTACCGTTGCTTAAATAATATTACAAATCACTATCACTAATGATATGTTTTATACTAGACTATAATTTTTTTTTAGATAATTTACAGCTATTATAACTTTCATGATACACAATAAGTGACAGAACAAAAGTGAATGTGTTGACATTCACTCAGTTTAAATCAGTGCCACATATTTCATGGACTCCTGACACTAATTGTGAATCTGTTGTCAATTGATTCTTGAAAATTAGGATTAAAATCCTGATTTAATCACAAATATCGTGATTAAAGTAGTCTCTCGTTTATTGTGGGGGATCCGTACCCTGAAGCCTCACGATAAGTGAAAAACCACAAAGTACTAAGTAGTAGTTTATTTTAGCACACA